TGCTCAATAAGGCCATTTAAAACTTCACGCATCTTCTTAGCTGTAACTCGCGTGACTGGACCTCCTTGGGTGTGTAATGGATCACATGACGTAGTAGATATGCTGTCATCTTGATTCCCATCAGAGGATCTTGTAGCAAATCAAGCTTTTCAAACATTAAAGGAGTATGATTCACCTTCAATCGAAGGGATTATTTTAAGCACATAAAGGCTAGTAATATAAGCTAATAACTTTGAAATTAAGCTAGCAATCAATCAGATGATTTAATAGAAATCCAAATAACCATATTACTAACTTTTTAGAAATTTGTGACACTTTCAAGCATAATGAAGTTTCAGATGATGCTATTAGACTAAGACTTTTTTCATTTTCTTTGCGAGAGAAGGCAAAGAATTGGTTAAGTTCTTTTCCTCTTGGATCAATCACTACATGGGATGCTATGGCACAAAAATTTTTATGTAAGTTTTTCTCTTTTATTAAAACTGCTAAGATGCATATGACATTGAGACATTTATGCAGTTGGATACTGAGTCATTATATGAGGCATGAGAGAGATACAAAGAGTTACTCAGGAAGTGTTTATAGCATGATCTATTTGTATTGTTACAAGTTCACACTTTTTGAAATAGTTTATTTTTTAATAATCATACCATGATTGATGCAGCAGCATGTGGATCATTAATCAGTACAAGTCTTGAAGAATCTTATCAACTAATAGAGGAGATCATTTCAAATAATTACTAATGGGGATCCGATAGATCACAAGTTAGGAAGAATGTTGGAATTCATGGAGTTGATACCTTTATGGCCTTGACATAAAAAATTGAAGCTTTGAACAAAAATTTAAGTAGAATGAATGCTTTAACTATCGAAGCTCAGAGCATTAATTGTGAATTGTGTGGGGAAGGACATCCTAGTTCTGAATATCAAGAAAGTAATCCTTTTGTTTCCTCATCTGAACAAGCAAATTTTGTTGGTTTTAATAGGCAACAAAATAATCCATACTCTAATACTTATAATCCAGGATAAAAGAATCAACCAAATTTTTCTTGGAGTAACGACTAGAATATAGTAAGGCAATTTCTAGGTTTTCAGCCACCTCCTGAGAAGAAGTTAGATTTGGTGGATTTGTTAAAAAAAGTACATTGCTGTGTTGTACCTATGATTTTGAGGATTACAAAACACATTTGAGTGACTAATTGGTTCATTTAAGTGTGTAGTTAAAATGTCAAAAGATTGCAAAATAAGTAAACTTGGACTATACTTAAAAATGGACTAGAAAGGCTTGAATATGTGTAGGGAGCCTGCTCTTAAAAGTTGCAGCCGGCTTTGGTGAAATGGAAGTGCAGGGAGCCGGCTCTAGAAGCTGCAATCGGCTCTACGAGTAAAGATTTAAAGGTCCATTGTTTGGCGCGGATGGAGAAAAGACGCTAAGCTGGCTCTAACTTTGCAACCAGCTGTAGGAGCACATTTAATGCACAGCGGTTGACTTATTTGAAGATTAATTAATGTTTTAAAGTCGGAACACCAAAGCCGAATTTATGTTTGCAGCCGGCAGTCCAAGAAAATAGAATGTGCAACAGACCTGCAAAGCTGGCTTTGCATTTTGCAACCAGCTCCATGGAGAAAACAAAATGTGCAGAATCTCGCAAAGCTGGCTGCAGAAATGGTAAGCCGGCTCCAGGAAATTAAGCCGGCTGTCCTGACAATCCTGCAACTCGAGCTTTGCATCTTGCAAAGCATTTAATGACCCCCAACGGCTAGAAATGGCTATTTTCGAGCAAGGGCCTATAAATATGGTCGGTAACAGATCTAAAGAAGTTTAGAGAGCATTAGATTGAATATCTTTACCTACCTACATGAGCTTTAACTTGAGTTTTTGATCTTTGAAAGATCTTTACTTGTAATCCTCTTCTTGTTCTATTTGTGAGTGATCTTGGGGGTGTGATTAATCCTTCAAGAGTGATCTATAGAGAGGATTCTTGGGGTTTATATGTAAAGGGGTGAGGTTTGAGAGAAATACTCATCTTCTTGTAAAAGGATTGAGTGGCTCCTTTAAGCCACCCTTGTTTTCTTAGTGGAGAGTGTGGAGGAAATCCTTGGTGAGTGAAGCCAAGGTAGAGGGCTAGGCTCCAAGTGGTTGGACTGAACCTTTATAAAATCATTAAGCAAGCTCTTCTTCTCTACTCTCTTTAATTTTGGAAGAAAAAAGAGAGAATTTTTGGAACTCCAATTCATCCCCCCTATTGGAGTCCATTAAGTCAACATGCTGTTAATGAATCAAGGTTTCAAAATCAAGAAGTAGCAACCAAGAGCTTAGAAGCACTAGTCCAGAATCAATGTGCATCAATTTGGAAATTAGAGGTTCAGGTGGGTCTATTGGCAAATGTAGTTTTTAGAAGAGCATAAAAAGCTTTATTAAGCAGTATTGAAAAAAATCTCAAGGAACAAGTGAAAGCCATAACCTTGAGAAGTGGGAAGCAAATTGGAGAAGAAGAAAGCTCAAGAAATGAGGTGAAAAAGAGAAAGCTTCAAAGGAGGAGGAAAAAACCCAAGTGCCACTTAAAGAATCCAAGGAAGCCAAGTCTTGTGTGCCCCCCAAGTTCCTTTTCCTCATAAATTGAAGTAGCGTAAGCTAGATAAGTAATTTTCTAAGTTTCTTGGTGTTTTAAAAAAATTGCATATTAGAATTCCTTTTACCAATGCCTTAGCTCAAATGCCTTACCATACCAAGTTCTTAAAGGAGATCTTATCTAATAAGAGAAAATTGGAAGACTGAGATTGTGAGGTTTTACTAAAGAATGTTCTGCAATTCTTCAAAGTAAGCTTCCCCTAAAGCTAAAGGATCTTAGGAGTTTTACAATTCCTTGCATGATGGGAAATTGTCATTTTGATAAAGTTTTGTGTGATTTGGAAGAAAGCATTAATTTGATGCCATTTTTCATTTTCAAGAAGCTGGGGCTTGCTAAGGCAAAAGCATCAATGATATCTCTTTAATTAGCAAATAGATCCATCAAACATTTAATGGGTATTATTGAAAATGTCTGGATAAAAGTAGATAGATTTATCTTTCCAATTGATTTTATAGTTTTGGACATAGAGGAAGACTAAGAGATACCTCTTATCTTAGGTCGACCTTTTTTAGCTATTGGTAGAACTTTAATTGATGTGCATCAAGGAAAGTTGATGCTTAGGGTGGAAGATGAGCAAATTACTTTTAATGTTTTTGATGCCATGAAGTACCCATTAAATATTGACTCTTGTTTTAGGATGGAAACAATTGAAAAAGCAGATAAAATAGATAATGAGATTTTGCAAGAAGATTCTTGTACAGCCCCACTTAAGGCATGTATTGTCCATTCCAAAGACACTATAGTTGAAAAATGAGGAAATTAGGGAGTATTCATTTCATTTGGAAGCTTTCTTGCCATTCTTGAAATCGAAGGAGCCAAGTCTCCAAGATTCTGGAGCTAATGTGTCTTACCTAAACCATCACTTAAAATCCTACAAAAGTTAAACTCAAACCTTTACTAATTCATTTAAAATATGCTTATTTAGATGAAAAATTTTGCTTACCTATGATTATTTATTATTCTTTGACAAGTTTAATGAAGGAAAATTTTCTTTGAGTTTTTAAAAAAGCTCAAAAGAGCATATTTGGGTGGACCATAACTAATATGAAAGGAATTAGTCCTTCAATTTACATGCACAAAATACTCGAGGAAAACTACAAACTGAGCATTCAACTACAAAGACATTTGAATCCACACATGCAAAAAAGTAGTGAAAACTAAGGTAGTAAATTACTTGATGCAAGGATTATTTTTCTTTTTTCAGATAGCTCATGGGTAAGTCTAGTCTAAGGTGTCCCAAAGAAAGGGGGTATAATAGTTGTTATGAATGATAATAATGAATTAATTCCTACTAGGATGGTAATTGGTTGGCATGTTTGCATAGATTATAGGAAATTGAATGATGCCACTAAAAAAGACCATTTTCTTTACCTTTTATTGACCATATATTGGAAAGACTTGCTAGACATGCTTTTTATTGCTTTTTAGATGGCTATTTAGGAAATAATCAAATTCCTATTAGACTTGAAGACCAAGAAAAAACCACTTTCACCCATCCTTATGGTACTTTTGCTTATAAAAGAATGCCTTTTGGTTTGTGTAATGCACCTACTACTTTTCAAAAATGCATGATGGCTAATTTTGTATGACATGGTAGAAAAAATCATTGAGATTTTCATGGATGACTTTTATATGTTTGGTTTGATGTAGGTTTGAAGCATTTGGACTTGATTTTCAAAGATGTGAAGAGACTAACCTTGTTTGGAATTGGGAAAATTGTCACTTTATGGAATAGGAAGCTATAGTGCTTGGACATAAAGTTTCTCACAAGGGTATTGAAGTTGATTGAGCAAAGGTAAAAGTGATTATGAGAAATTGTCCCCACCTACTTTTTGTGAAGGCTATGAGGAGTATTCTTGGACATACAGGATTTTATAGGAGATTTATGAAGGATTTTTCTAGAATAACTAGACCTTTTTCTAATTTCTTAGCTAAGGATGTTCCTTCTAATTTTTCTGTTGAATGTTTGCAGGCTTTTAACATTTTGAGGGAAAAGCCCATAAATGCACCCATTATGGCAGCACCAAATTGGAATCTACCTTTTGAGCTTATATGTGATGTAAGTGATAGTGCTATGGGAGTTGTTTTAAGACAAAGGAAGAACAAGGTATTTCAAATCATATACTATGCTAGAGGTACGTTATTAAAAGCACAACTGAATTATGCTAACGTAAAAAAGAAGCTTCTAACAATAGTATTTGCTTTTGATAAGTTCCATTCCTATTTGATTGATACCAAGGTTATTGTTTTTATTGATCACTCTACTCTTAAATATTTACTTGCAAAGAAGGATGCAAAACCAAGGTTAATCCGATGGATTTTATTACTACAAGAATTTGACTTCGAGATAAAAGCTAAGAAAAGGATTGAAAATTTGATTGCCGATCATTTGTCAAGGCTTAAGAGTTCTAGCCAAAGAGGTGGAGGTATACCCTTTCTCTATTAACGTGATATCTTCTCCTTGTTTATTGATTTTGTAAATTACTTGGCATGCAATATTTTTCCTCTTTATTTATCTTATTAACAAAAGAAGAAATTCTCATCTGATGTGAAATTATTTTTGGAAAGAACCTTTCTTGTATAAATTATGTGAAGACCAGATTATCAAAAGATATGTCCTTGACGAGGAGGTGTTGGGGTGTGCTGGTGATGCGGAATGATGAGTCAGTAGTAGTGTTGGCGTGGAGGCTAACTAGGATGCCACTTGTGAATGATGAGGAAGGTCCTTTTGGTGGCACTTCTTTCACGTGTGAAAGGCTACCTACCAAGGGCCGTCTCGTTTTGTCCAACGATGTTGGTTAACAGAAAATTCTCCATCAGAGTCTAAAACTACAAATTTTCCAACCAAGCCGAACAGGAGAGAACTTGATGAGAACCCCAAAGAGAACAATGAGACCCACAGCACGACAAGGGATTTGTAAACTCCAGGAAAGCTAAATCAGGTTTATAATAGGACCTTGACCCGTTGTTTATGTCGCAACAAGAACCAAAGGTAAAAACCTTGACCTGTTGTCTATGACACAACAAGAACCAGAGGTATAAAGTTGGTTGACGCCACACCCTCGAACAATTAAGAACGAGAATGATAAGTCAGGTTAGAACACCACAAGAATAATCTTGATAAGTTCTATAAAGTTCTGAAACGAACCAAAGAGAAAAGTCTCTCAAAATCTCAGATTCAATCGCCTCCCTCCCCATTAGGGTTACAAGCCTTTTAAATAGAGAAAACAAATCCTAATCTGAATAGGAAACTAACACCCTAAGTCCTAAACCTAATAACCACGAATTGGGCTTCAAATAAGTGAATGTTCAGCCCAAAAATAATACAAAAACCTGAAAATCGCTAAAAATAACCTAAAATAACATGAAATATCAGTTTGCTACAAATTGTGGCAGAATTGTGCAATTTTGACACAAACTGTGTAATTCCGTGCAAATGACCTCAACTAAGCTTCTCTTGAACCTGAATGATGTTTACCATGCCTTGATAATCATCTAAGCTTTGATTTGCTTGTTGTATGTTGTTTTCAACCCAGATCTACTCAATAAGGCCATTTAAAGCTTCACACATCTTTTTAGCTCTAGCTCGCATGACTGGACCTCCTTAGGTGTGTAATGGATCACATGACGTAGTAGATATGCTACGTCTTGATTCTCATCATTCCCTCTCTCCTCAAAAGGATTTGTCCTCAAATCGTCACCTACATCAAAAGGAGAAAGATTAGAAACATTAAAAGTAGCACTAACATTATACTCACCAGGAAGCTCCAACTTGTATGCGTTGTCATTAATCCTTGCAATCACTTGAAATGGTCCATCGCCTCTTGGTTGCAGCTTAGAACACCTTTGTGCAGGGAATCGCTCCTTGCGCATATGCACCCCAACCCAATCTCCAGGTTCAAATACAACTTTCTTGCATCCTTTGTTGGCTTGTTTTGCATACTGCTCAGTTCGTCGCTCTATGTTTTGTCGCACCCTCTCATGCAGTTGCTTAACCACTTCAGCTTTCTTGTTCCCATCCAAACTAGCTTGTTCGTCAATAGGTAAAGGCAATAAGTCTAAAGGAGTGAATGGATTAAAACCATACACAACTTCAAATGGTGAACAGTTAGTTGCTGAATGGACGCTCCGATTATAAGCAAATTCAACGTGCGACAAACACTCTTCCCAGTTCTTCAAGTTCTTCTAAATAATAGAACGCAATAAGGTTGATAACGTCCTATTAACCACTTTTGTTTGTCCATCAGCTGCAACAAAATACCCTAAAAAGACAATCTGATTTGTGCAAAAGGAATACTTTTTAAGGTTAGCAAACAACTTTTCTTTTCTTAGAACCTCAAGTACCATTTGCAAATGCTCAATATGATCAGTTAAACTCTTGCTATATACCAGAATGTCATCAAAATAAACAACCACAAATTTGCCAATGAAAGCACGCAAAACATGATTCATTAATCGCATGAATGTACTAGGTGCAACAGTTAATCCAAATGGCATAACTAACCACTCATATAAACCATGTTTTGTTTTAAAGGCTGTTTTCCATTCATCATGTTCCTTCATCCTAATCTGATGATATCCACTCTTTAAATCAATTTTAGAGAATATGCAAGAACCATGCAACTCATCTAACATGTCATCTAATCTAGGAATAGGGTGATGAACTTTACAGTGATTTTGTTGACTGCGCAACAATCAACGAACATACGCCAAGTCCCATCCTTCTTAGGCACAAGTAGCACTGGAACTGCACATGGACTCATGCTTTCTCTCACATGTCCCTTTTTCATGAGTTCTTCGACCTGCCTTTGAAGTTCTTTTGTCTCATTGGGATTGCTTCGATATGCTGGTCGGTTTGGAATTGTTGCACCAGGAATGAAGTCAATTTGATGCTTGATTCCTCTTATTGGTGGTAAACCATTAGGAACGTCATTTGGAAACACATCCTTGAAGTCCTGCAAAAGAGATTTAACAACACTAGGCAAAGAATCATTAAGTTCATTAGTGTTGATGCCTTTTGGTAAATGCATGTTGACGGCATTAAGGGGCGCTTAGATTGAGGTGGGTCTTGATGATGTGGAAACTACTCGAATCCAAGTTTAACCTTTTACAAAAACATTCATCAACATTAGCCCCCTAAGCGAGGAGAGTTGTGACAATAAGTCTTCATGCTTGTCGTTGATGTCCATGAATGTGCCCAAACTTTGGCATATATTGGATGAGTTTGATGCAATCCAACAATACCTTTATTGTGTGACAAGTTGAAGAGATATGGCTAGACTTTTGACAGAGGACAAGCTCATCTTCATGTTGCTTGATGAAGATAATAATAATACGAGTGATTGCTTGTAAAGCTCTCCCTTAGTAGCTTGGTTATGCTTGTAAAGAATTTTCCTCAATTGGAGAATGAAAACGTCGAGCACTGTTCATAGCCATGTTGTTTGTCTCTTCATGGCTGGAAAATACCTGTGCATGAGTTTTGTTATAAAACTTTTCATAAAAATAAGCTGATGAGAAGCTTAACACTTAAGAATACTTGTCGACCCAATTTCCAAGAGGATAGCATTTTGATGAAAATTAAGCAAACAGTTGAAGTTGTAGTTCTGGAGATGAACATTCATCAGCTTTGTTGGAAAGTAATACTATCAATATAACCTTCTAGCCATGTAAATTTTTTCAATCTCCCATGTACGTGCTAATCAAGTATTTGCAATTCTTCGTCTTCTTTTGTGACTTGACTTTAAGAAGTTGTCTAGTGAAGATATTTGACTTAAATAGTGATGGAGTCATAGCAATAAGTTGCAAGCTGTTGAATTAATAGTAGACTGCTTCATTCAAGTGAAATATAATGATGTGAAGTAAAGCAATAACCTTCCATCTGAGGAATGTGAGAACTAGTAATGATGGATATCTTGTTCAAGAGATAAAGTAAAGATGAAGACTCTCCATAGCTCTGTTATAACTATAGGTCGAGACCAACAAGTTTTGTTGAGCTCTTCTTTTGCCTGAGATGATAAAATGATGACGAAGATGAAATGAGCACACATATGTTGATGTACTTGTAATGGACCCAATATGTTGAAGAAGACTTCTTGTCCCAGATCGAGAATTCCAGCGAAAATGGACTTTTCGTCCAAGATGGAGTATTCCCGCAAAGATGGATTTTCTTATCAAGATCAAGTATTCTAGCAAAGATGGACCTTCTATCCAAGATAAAGTATTCCAGCAAAGATGGGCCTTTTGTCCAATTGATGTTGTAAATAAGTCATAGTGGATGAAATCTATCCATGTGAGCCATCTAAGCCTTGATAATGTTTGTTTTCCATGATAGATTGTTGAAGATGTATCAATATGTAATTGTGTGTTCTTGATCGTTGGCTATGTTGAATATTGCTAGGTTGTCTAGAGAGCTTTGCTACCCTCCCTCATGCATCAAAGGAGAAGATGGAAGTATATAGTGTTGTGCTTCTTTGTCTATTTGTCATGAGAAGCACCTGTATAGCATTGCTGTGTATGTTTGGCATTGTGCCAAAATAAAGAATGAGTAATATGGATGTGTGTTGTGATATCATTGTCCTAAACCAAGCATTGTTGATTGGCAACACCTTCTAACATGCAAAAATATAGAAGAGATATGTTGTGGATTGAGATTACTAGCAACTGATAATTTTGTCCATTTGTATAGAAGAATGATGATGTGCATGGCCACCGGCCATGTTGTACAAGTATCGTAGGGTCAACCATGAATAGCTTCCCCATAGCTAGAGGGATAATAATGGCTAGCTTTGTCCATGGCTGGAGCGTGAACTATGTGGAATTGGAGGAGCACTCCAACTAATCCACTAAGTCGCGAAGGGGTAAATCTCATCAAGCTAGACTCTGCTATAGCGATCAATATGTGATAAAGATAAGTGGAGTTGTCTCCATGGAAGGAGGACACCAGCCACGTCCATGGCCTCTGATACGACAAAGTGTGATACCATTGACAAACATTAGCCCTTCTTGTTGTACTTGCACTGTTAGAGGGTAATCCTGGTCGTTGTTGCTCTTCAAGCATCACACCACCATGCAAGGGCAACCACCAAGGGACCACTAGCTACTACTTGATGGATTTTTATTGCTAGAGGGTAATCATCCCGTCCAATTGTAGTGTTGCAACTGTTACCGGTCTTACGCTAATTGAATCGAGTTGTGCTAACTCTTTGTCCATTTCTGGGAGCCAAATGAGATAAAATATGTAGAAATCTAATCCTTTGTTTGTTGCCGAGAGCTAGTGTGATGAAGATATGTAGAAATGTGTAGCCTTTTATCAATTGCTGGAGGCTAGATGAGATAGCAAATCTAGCCCTTTATCCATCATTGGAAGCTGTGTAGATGTAATAGGATTAGCTTGTTGTCCATCGTTGGTGTTAACGTGCCAAAATAGATGGAGTCGCCATCTATCCAAATGAGGTGGGATAGATCACCAAGATCTATGTAGAAATTGACTAGGTTTGGAGGGTCGGTTAAGCGTGGGGAAGGTGTAGGCACTCCACAAATTCCATATACTATGGTTACCACATACTTAAATTTGGGGACTTTTCAATTTTATATGAAAATAATAATTTCCAAAACAAACAAAAAAAAAATAACTTAAAAAAATTTGTCATTTACCTTTTGTTTCTCCGTTTCTGTTTTTTTTTTTTTTTTCATTTCTTTTTTTAAAATTTTTAATCAATAACAATTACCCAAAAAAATCACTTCAAAAACAAAAATAATAACAATAAATAAATAAGTACAATCCTCCATTGGCCTCCTTTTTTTTTCGTTTCAGTTTTTTTTTTTTTTCGCTTTTGTTTCTTCTTTTTTTTTAAAATTTTTCTACACTCTTTTCATTTCTATTTCTTTTCTTTTCTTCTTTTTAATACGTACACTCACTTCCTACCTCCCAAAAAAAGTTTCTATTTCCCAATTCTGCACATCATTTAGAACCTCCTACATGTAATCATGAAAACAAATTTCATCCTAAATCTTGATCTTATCCGTCGAACACCTAATTAACTTACACAGATTAATTCTACCAATGAATAAGATTTTTGCTGCAAGTCTTCATCACATCCAATATATAGAACAACTCATAGAGACATGCAAGATTACCTTTGCTTTTGAATAAAAAAAAAAAATAGAGAAATCAACCAAAAATGAATAGATCACACACCTGTAAGCAGCTGAAGGATTAAAGCTTTATTGTTTTATAAAATTTCAAATACAAGTTTCTTCTTTGCTCACCCTCTACAGCTACTACAACTACTGCACCTCTGGTTCTATTTTTTTCTTGGCTTTCTCTCGGCTTCTTCTCCCTTTTCTTCTCTTCCGGCTTCTACTTTCTTTCTCCCTCTCAACTCTTGGATTTCTCTCTCTCCCCCAATTTTTTTTTGAATGCCCTCTCTAAAGCCAAAGGCCCCCTTTTGTAGACAAAGGGCAAACCCAATCCTAATGCCCTTCTAATTTCCAATCCAAATCCCTAAGATAACAACCCAATCCTATTTGAAATGGGATTTTCTTAGTTCTTCCCACATCTACCCCTTTTAAGTCTAAATTTATACCTTTTATGCATTAGGATTCCCACCTTGAATCAATTTTGGACTCTTTGGAGTTGATGACTTGCGGTTTGTACATCTTTATCCAAATCCTTCGATTGGCTAAGCTTATCTTCAAAGAAATCCCTTCGGCATCGTGTTGGAGTTGATGAGAGGGGAGGTGCAGCAAAGAAAACAAGGAGGCTAGGGTTCAACTGAAAACCCAGCCTTTTATTTTTAACCCATTGGCAAAACCACGTCATTTTGCCATTTCCTCTTCTTAACCCCTTCAATTTTCCAGCTTCACAAAAATAGTCCATTGACTTCTAATTTTATCATTTAGCCCCTCACTAAAAATTGGGTTATGACAGTTGCCCCTTCTTTACTTTTCTTTTCGTTAAAAAAGAAAAGTAAAGAATAAAAGAATAACCCACTTTTAAGCTTTGAAAACAATTTATAAGTGAAAGCTTCATCGCCTTCCTTGTGATCTTCATTTCTACTTCTCCAAGAATGCGATCTTCATTTAGAATGTGACTTCTAAGATGCAGTCTTCATCTTTTCTTTTACGGGATGCGGTCTTCATCTCTCCTTCTTCCTTAGATGTGGTATTCATCTAGGATGTGTGACTTTTAAGATGCGGTCTTCATCTTATCTTTTGTGAGATGTGGTCTTCATCTCTCCTTCTTCATTAGATGCGGTCTTCATCTTAGGTGTGACTTCTAAGATGCAGTCTTCATCTTATCTTTTGGGAGATGCAGTCTTCATCTCTCCTTCCTCCTTAGATGCGGTCTTCATCTAAGATGTGATTTCTAAGATGCAATCTTCATCTTATCCTTTGCGATATGCAGTCTTCATCTCTCCTTCTTCCTTAGATGCGATCTTCATCTAGGATGTGATTACTAAGATGCAATCTTCATCTCTCCTTCCTTAAATGCAGTCTTTAGCTAGGATGTGACTTCTAAGATGCGGTCTTCATCTTATCCTTTGCAAGATGTGGTCTTTGTCTCTCCTTCTTCCTTGGATGCGATCTTCATCTAAGATATGACTTCTAAGATGCGGTCTTCATCTTATCCTTTGCGAGATGCGGTCTTCATCTTATCCTTTGCGAGATGCGGTCTTCATCTTATCCTTTGCGAGATGCGGTCTTCATCTAGGATGTGACTTTTAAGATGTGGTCTTCATCTTATCCTTTGCGAGATGTGGTCTTCATCTAGGATGTGACTTCTATGATGTAGTCTTCATCTTATCCTTTGCGAGATGCAATCTTCATGTCTCCTTCTTCCTTAGATGTGGTCTTCATCTCTCATTCTTCCTTAGATGCAGTCTTCATCTCTCATTCTTCCTTAGATGCAGTCTTCATCTAAGATATGACTTCTAAGATGCAGTCTTCATCTAGGATGTGACTTTTA